AAAAAAAAAAGATAATATAGAAATATAAGTAAAACTATAAAAATATAAAGAGAATATAAGTGTATACAAGTAAAAATATATAAATGTATGTAAATATAAAACTGGAGAATATAAATACAAATATTAAAAAAAATCATTAAGAAAGAGAATATACAGGGGTGCCTGGGGGGCTGAGTAGGCACTCGACCCTTCAACTCAGCTCAGGTCTCGATCTCAGGGTTGTGAGTTCAAGGCTCATATTGGGTGTGAAGCCCACTCAACAAAGAAAGATACGGCACCTGAGTAGTTCAGCTGGTTGAGCCCTGGACTTCAGCTCAGGTCATCGTCTCGCACTTTATGAGTTCGAGCCCTACATCTAGCTCTCTGCTGTCAGTACAGAGGCCACTTGGGATCCTCTGTCTCTGTCTCTGTCTCTGTCTCCCTCTCCCTTTCCCCCTCTCTCTCCCTCTCTCAAAATCAACACTACAAAAAGAAAAATACATTCAGAGTACTGTATTTATGGAAAAAAAAATCCACATATGGTGCACTTATGCAGTTCATTACCAACGGTCAACTATAGTTATAAAAGGAAAAATGCTCACTTACAAGGAAGAGACTTGGTGCTCATCACTAAACAAGTGATCAAACATTATCACTAATGTGGGTAACATGATATAATAAAAAGTATCAACATTACCTATGCAGTATTCTTGCCAAATACATTTAATTTAATCTAAATCAGGAAATGTCCTATCAACTCAAAATGTGTAACATTCTACAAGACAATTTCATACTCTTTTAAAAAAAGGTGAATATCATGAAAGATGGGAGGAAAGGCAAGAGAACTTATTCTAAACTAATGAGACCAAAGCGACATTGTCAAATGCAGCGAGGGTGCCCAGATTGGGCCTGTACTTAAAAGAGAAAAGGAGAAAAAGGATACAAGAGAGACATTTTGGGAATTTGGGGACATTATAAAATGTAGTATTTATATTAGCTATCCTTGAAATAGTGCTAATATTTTTAGGTGTGAAACTGAATTATGGTTATGTATGAGAATGTCTTTATTCTTAGAAGATACATGCTGAAGTACAGGAGTAAAGCATCAGGATATACATAACCAATCTTTAAATGGTTCAGCAAAGGCAAGCAAAACACACCCATTTACATACAAGTATGTGTGCTGGTCTACTTAAACACACATACAACGAATGTATCAAAATTTTTAACAACTAGTGAATCCAGAGAAAGGGCATACAGGTGTTCATTGCACTGTTCTTTGGATTTTTCTCTACGTATGAAAGTGTTCTAAGTAAAAAGTGGCAGAAAAAAATCAAGGAAATTTCACTTCCCACTCTGTACTGACATGTACTCGAGGCTGGTAAATGGTTTTTTTTTTTGCAAAGGGTCAGTGAGGAAACGTTTTAGGCTTTGTAGGCCATATGGTTCCTGGCGCAAAGACAGCCACTCTAGACAATACATAAACAAATGAGCATGTGTTCTAAGAAAACAATATTTACAAAAATAGGCAATGGGCCAATTTTGGCTCATGGGACATAATTTGCCATCCCATAGTATGTATTACTAAACTTCTAAAGAACGCATGGGCACATAATGCTGGGTCTTCCCTCATTGTACGTCTATAAGGGTTTTTGTTTTTAAATTCAGACTCCCCAGCATCATGGCCTCTTCTTTAGTCTCTTGCCCATTCAAATATTTTATGGCTTCAACCACTAATTTCTAACAGAATGACTCCCATCTATAGCACTTTTCTTGCTATCTTAGGCCAAATGTATAGATTTCTATTATGTATATCATGAATTTTCCACATGGATGGTGCAGTAAAAAATTAGTACTTTTTCCCCCCAAGCCAACTTTTCCTGCAACATAATTTAATTCTACCATTTCCACAACTATCCACCTACCCATTTAGGCTCAGCAACTGGGAGACCACCCACGTAGAGAAGAGTTAACATAGCAGGCCCAAGGCTGCCTGTCCTTAGAAAGTCAAGGTTGGTCCTTGGCTGGCACCTGGGAAGGGTGGCTGGGAGGGTTCTCACTATTCCCAAAACCAGTAAGAGTGGCTTACTGTGCCTCAAATGTTTGTACAAACAATATGGTTTATGCTTAATATCAGCTTTCCTTGTGGAAATCTGAAATTTGGGTACATGCAAGTAGAGATGCCGACAAAACTTTGGGCACGGAGTCTAACTCAGCCGCTCTGGTAGCCACGCGCCCAAGCTTCCTTTGTGACTTTCCAGGGAGAGGACTCCTCGAAGTACGGGCCTGATTCCCTTCAGACATTGCCACATATGCCTTTTCCCTTTGATGATTCTGTATTGTACCTTTACACAGTAAACATTTTAGTGGAGGGTATAATTTTATGATGAGCCCTGTAAGTTCCTCTAGTGAATCACAAAACCTTGAGATATTCTTGGGGTCTTTGACACGCCTTATAATTTGTTTTTCAGCAAGGTATTTAATCAGTTGTAAAGTCTTTTTTTTTTTTAAGTGATTTCTTAAAGTTTATTTATTTTGAGAGAGAGCCAGCAGGGGAGGGGCAGAAAGATAGAGACAGAGACAAAGAAAGAATTCCAAGCAGGCTCTGCACTGTCAACACAGAGCCTGGATGCAGGGCTCAGTCCCACAAACTGAGATCATGACCTGAGCCAGTATCAACATTTGGACATGTAACAGACTTGAGCCACCCAGGCACCCCAGCTGCAAAGTCTACTTGATTCGACATTCGTTGTCTCACTTCTTCTTCACATTTTCTTCATTTCCACGGTTTCTGTCCTGTTGAGGATTCCATTACTGCACTGGTCTCCTGTGGTCATTTCTGCTTCTCCACTTACCTTCGTCTAATAGAATAATTCTAATCATTCCATCTATTAGTTAAAAAATCCAAAATGGTAACTCATTTTGTGATAGAATGAAGTCTAAAATTCTAAACTTTTAATTAGAAAGCTTAAGATTTCTTTAACCTTAGGGGTGTCTGGGTGGCTCAGTCAGTTAAGTGTTCAACTTTTGATTTCAGCTCAGATCCTATCATGGCTCGTGAGTTCGAGCCCTTAACCCACTTAGGTTATGTGCTACAGTGCAGAGCCTGCTTGGAATTCTCCCTCTCCCTCTCTCTCTCTCTGCTCACCTCCCTTGCTCTCTCTCTCAAAAATAAATAAACTTAAGAAAAAGAAGAGGAACGCCTGGGTGGCTCAGTCGGTTGAGTGTCCGACTTCAGCTCAGGTCACGATCTCACGGTGTTTGTGGGTTCAAGCTCTGCACCGAACTCTGTACTGACACCTCAAAGCCTGGAGCCTGCGTGAGATTCGGTGTCTCCCTGTCTCTCCACACCGCCCTACCGCCCACCCCAGCTCACACTCTGACTCTCTCAAAAATAAATAAACATTAAAAAAAAAGAAGATCTCTTTAACCTTAGTTTCTATTGTATGACATCATATACTTGATACTTCAGCCAAACTACCACCTGCCAATTCCCAAAACATCCTCTCTTCTAGACCTGAAACGAACAGAGTTTCCAATATATCAAATACCACTCCCCAAACCTGTGTGAATCCATACAATCTAAGTTCAAGTGTCATCTCCTACATGAAGTCCTCCCAGATTGTTTTACAAATAATCACTTTTTAAAAATTTTAACAGGATGTTAGCTATTTCTTGCTAATGGCACTTATCACTTTATACCTTGTATTAGTCTTACATACATACATTCCAGAACCCCCTTCTTCCAGAGCATGGTCTATCTTGGATTAACTTTTGTATCCTCCTACAGTGCCACACAACTGTACGTACTTCCTGAGTATTTGCTGAATGAAAAGATGAAAAAACAAGAAGGCAATCAGATGAATGCCTGGTTCTAGTTTTGCATTAAAGGAGAAAAGATATTCTTAGAAAGGATGTTCACATGAGAGAGAGTTAGGTATGGCTGAAACAGTATTATTCTCGCTCTTTCAAGAGCCATACTGTACATTTAATCCTACATCTAGAAGTATACGTAGCAAGGTTCTATGCTTGGTTCTATGCTTAGTCCTGTGCAAATTACCATGAATTAAATAAGCTTCAGTGGATTAGTTTCAAATCTAATCCTATCTATAAATAATACTATTTATGGGAACTGGCAGATAACATCTTTATAATACAATCCATAAGATATGACTGCCCCTATATCAATTATACCTTGGTTGTGACAATAAAGGTAGAAGAAAGCCTAACTTTTTCAAAAAAAGATATGGAACACTCAAAACTGAATTAATTTAAATATTTTTTAGTTTATAAAGTTTCTCACATTTAGGAGTTTAAAGAATATACCACTACCATCAAAACACAAAAACAAAACAACGAAATGGCATCAACTTTTTTTCAACGGGGAGGGGGAATAACGAATTTTTATATAAGATTGTAACTGAACCTGTAGAAAAAAAGAGTAACTCTTCAATAATTAAAGACATTTAAATATTTTTTTTCTATACACATACTCTAATTTGAGAAAGAGCTTATATATTTGCCCTTTTTGTTCCACATATTATATAGTCTCCATAGTCAGATGAAATATCAAAGACAGAATAAACTAATTTTGAGTGAAATACACTACCTCCAACAACGATGTTCACCATTTCTTCTACAATGCTCTGTACGATGTCTTGTGGCTTTTCCTCACAGTCATGGTTTTCTCCATCATATAATATGTCATTTTTAGATAATGCTTTAAAAAATAAAAATCCAAGGAAACTTATTTTTTGGAAACTTTTACTCAGCATTTAAAACTAAAAACTTTGTTAAGAAATTAAGAATAAAAGAAAATTTAACAGATACATGAAACTAGAAGCAAATTACAAGTTAAACCTTCAAAATTCATAACTACATCAAATTTAAAATATTTTATAAATTTATGTCAACTTAAAAAATGATTCATCTGATAACTATTAAATGATCATTCAACTTAAGCAAATTTTCTACATTATTCCTTTAGAAGCTAAACATTTTAAAGTATTTTGAATGAAACATTTCTAACATGTCTGACACACTGATCAAGTAATAGATTAAATGTAACTAAAGCCTGCATTGATCAATTATTCAGTTTATCAATAATATTGTGCTTTAACATTTGTAAAGTCCGTGAAGACGAAGACACCAGGCCACGTGGGACTCCACCAGTGCATTCCAGCCCTTCCTTCCTGTTTCTTCCCCAAAAGAGTCTACATATCCAATGTAAAATTTACTTTAATAAATAAAAAAGGGCTCCTTCTCCAATTTAACAATCAAACAGATATAAATGCTCATCAGAACTTCTGAACAACTTAAGAGAAACTGATAAACCTTGACATTCCAGAGTTAGCTTGCAGATAAAAACAGGACTTCTATGGCTAGGTTTTGAAATGATGCAAATATCTCAAGAAGGCTCGGGGGAGCCTGGGTGGCTCAGTCGGTAAAGCGTCCGACTTTCGCTTAGGTCATGATCTCTCGGTTCGTGGGTTCGAGCCCTGCGTGGGGCTCTGTGCTGACTGCCAGCTCAGAGCCTGGAGCCTGTCTTCAGATTCTGTATCTCCCCCTCTCTCTGACCCTCCCCTGCTCACGCTGTCTCTCTCTCTCTCTGTCTCCTAGAAATAAATAAAACATTTAAAAAAATTAAANGTGTCTCCCTCTCTCTCTCTGCCCCTCCCCTACGTGAGCTCTGTCTCTTTCTCTGTCTCTCTGTCTCTCTCTCTCTCTCTCTCTCAAAAATGAATAAACATTTAAAAAAATTAAAAAAAAAAAAAAAAAAAAAAGGCAGCTCAACTAGCACTTCCGACGCCTAGTGATCCCGGGCCCCGTGCTGCCCCACTCACCCGAGCAGGAGGCTGCACAGGAGGTGACAGTGCTGCTGTCCCACTCACACGACTGTATAAAGGACCACTGCTTGGGGTTCTGCTTCCAGAAGCCTGTCCTCCCTATTGCTGACCGCTCCTGATCTACTGTTTGCTACACTCTACAGAATACTGAATGCCACAAGGGGAGCTATGATAAAGGAGCTTACGAATCAGTACACTTACTTCATAAAAAAATCCAAATACAGAAATAACACAAGATTCTTCTGTGGAGTAAAAGCATATCAATGTTTTGACAGATCATTTTGCTACCATCTTTAGGCTTTGTATTTCTGTCCTCTAGCTGGCTAAAATTATCTAGAGTCTGAAAGTTAGTTTCAACAAAACTAAATATACAGTCACTAATATGTGTACAAAATAGCTAGTGAATCACGAGTCAGTTCTCACTCAAATTATCTGACAGAAATAGTAGTATTTATTACACGCAGGCAGTCATTAGAGAAGTTAACTGTTACGTCCAAAGTAACATTACTAGTAAGTGACAGAGACGTAATTCAAAGTAAACTCTAGAGCTCTCTTAAATCAATGGTTCTCAGGCAGAATTCTCATTTTTATCAGCTGTTGGGAGAAAAATACCTGCAGGGCCAAAATAATCATGAAAATACCACAGCAAATTCTGTCATATGTATAATTCTGTATCCTACAAGGTGACTTGTACACAGTAGATGCTTCCATTCACTGAGTCTCAGCCCACGTTATTTTTTCTGTCACAGAATTTCTGAAATTTTCTAGCTAGCCAATTCCAACTCCTATCCAACAAGATTCAACCAAAACATCATCACTTTCAGTACAAACGTAGTGCCTAACTCTCCTCAGCAGAATTACCTCGTGCTGGTCACCTGCAGGATATTTATCACATTATACCTCATTTATAAATGCCTGACCATCCAGGCAAACCATGGTCTTAGAACAATGTCTTTATGGGGCGCCTGGGTGGCTGAGTCAGTTAAGCATCCGACTCCAGCTCAGGTCACAATCTCAGGGTCTGTGGGTTCAAGCCCCGCGTCAGACTCTGTGCTGACAGCTCAGAACCTGGAGCCTGTTTCAGATCCTGTGATTGTCTCTCTCTCTGCCCCTCCCCCATTCAAGCTCTGTCTCTGTCTCAAAAATAAAATAAACATTAAAAAAAAAAGAATAATGCATTTATCAACTTTTTTTTTTAATACTTTTATTTATTTCTAGGAGAGAGAGATATTGTGTGTTTTGGAGGGTCAGAGAGAGAGGGAGATACAGACTCTGAAATAGGCTCCAGGCTCTGAGCTGGCAGTCAGCACAGAGCCCGACGCGGGGCTCGAACCCACGAACCGCGAGATCATGACCTAAGTGAAAGTCGGACGCTCAACCGACTAAGCCCCCCAGGCGCCCCTCCTTTATCAATTTTTTAACCCCAAGTGCCACATGGTGCCTAGGACACAGTATGCTAAATAAATGTTTGCTGAATGTATGAAGAAATAAAGTCCCAGCTTTATTAGTGATTAGCCCTTTGAATCAGGCTCTTATAAGCTCACAGTAAAAGTAGGTAAAATCTAAGGGTGCCTGGATGGCTCAGTCAGTTAAGCATCCGACTTCGGGTCAGGTCATGATCTCATAGTTTGCGACTTCCAGCCCCGCGTCGGGCTCTGTGCTGACAGCTCAGAGCCTGGAGTCTGCCTTGGACTCTGTGTCTCCCTTGGTCTCTGCCCTTCCCGACTCTTGCTCTGTCTCTGTCTGTGTGTCTGTCTCTCTCTCTCTCTCTCAAAAATGAATAAACATTTAAAAAAAGTAGGTGAAATCTGGCAAGGGCTGGCTAGAAAAATGTAAATAATGTAAGCAGTATAGATTTACTATTAGCTTGAGTACTGTGAATGTTTGAATTTATCAAAATTATCCCTTTTGTAAATTAATTAATTAATTTATTTTGTGAGAGAGAGAGAGAGAGAGAGAGAGAGAGAGAGAGAAGAGGAGAGGGAGGGAGGGAATGGAGAAAGGGCAGAGAAGGAGGAAATCTCAAGGAAGCTCCATGCTGTCAGCAAAGAGCCTAATATGGGACTTGATCTCACAAACTGCGAGTCATGACCTGAGCCGAAATCCAGAGTTGTATGCTTAACTAAGTCACCCAGGCACCCCAAAACTACCCCTTTTAAAATAAACAGTAAAGCACTAAGTATTAAAAAGGCATCAATCATGCCACTGCTGATGTTCATCCTACTGTTACATTATGAAAAAAATGTGGTAGGAAAAAAAAAAAACTCAGCGGGTGAAAAAATACTACAGAAGTCTTCTCTCAAAGAAAAATATAGATTTCCGATTAACTGTAACTAAGCCCTAAGCATCCTACTTCCACACAAATGCAGTAAAGAGCCAATAGAATTTCCATCATTTTTTGACACCAAACTAATAAGAAACAAAGGGAACAAGACTCCCTAGCAGTTTTATAAAATAGCTAAAGCTAAAAATAATGTTTGAGAGGAAAAAAAAATGACTTCATGTGATTATTTTTAGAGAAACAAATTAGTAAAATAAATAAATGTAATTTAATTTTATAATCTTGCAACCCTTTTCTTTTTTAAAAACATACTTAAGAGAGAGAGAATGCACATGACTGGGGGGCACAGAGAGAGGAGAGAGAATCCCAAGCAGGCTCTGTGCTTTCAGTGTGGAGCCCAACGTGAGGCGAGAGCTCACAAACCGTGAGATCATGACCTGAGCCAAAATCAAGAGTTAGATGCTCGACTAACTGAGGCACCCAGGTGCCCCTTTGTAACCTTTCTCATAAATAAATTTACTCAGAAAAATAGTATCAGAGAACATCTCAATTTTAGTGCTTACTACAAATCAGGATATAAAAATATTTCTGTATGTTAGGTAGTTACTCTATTTTTATACTTAATTTCAGTACTTTTTAGACAATAGTATCTTCTGAACCAATAACACATTGATGCCCTAAAACTTTCAGTCACATTCCAGAAAACCTTACTAAATAAACAAATCTTTTGTTTGCTGTGAAACTATTTTAAGAAAAGTGAAGTTCCATTATGACCTGGTAGTAGACATTTATGACCCCCTTTTAGTAACATATATCTCCTCCAAAACAAGTCTGTAAATGATACTGCTCATGAGATGACAATGAATGCACAGTACTGTTAAATAGGTACCCTGTGTTTTGAAGTCAATTAAATTCACTACCTAGGATGGAAAAAATCCACAACTAATCACCATGTGCCTGCTATCCATTAAGACATATTACCCTTTCCACAATTCTTTCCCAAAGATACATGCCTACACTCTTCCCTTCACACGCCCCACAACCCCTTCTCAGAAAGATTACTTTCAGCTGCAGTTGCCTGATCAGCTTCAGTCTGTTCATTTTCTGCACTGGAAATATCAGATCCATTTTCGGGTTCTGTGTCATCCTGAAGGCTTTTATCCACATCATTTGTATGGGAATCAAGGTCCCCTTCTTGTTCTTGGGTCATATGATCAACAGTTTGAGGTTGCAAATATCTAAGTTGAGGTGATTCAGGCTCATGATGGCTTACTGGAGACTGCAACAGATGATGATGCTGCCGATGCCTTTCTTTTTCCATTTGTTTGGCTTCCTGCAACTGTTAAGAAATAGAATTAATTTCCCATATTAGTAAAGTAAGTTGTTTAAAATTTGGAAGGATAATGTTATACTCAACTATAAATCCTTGTCTCTAGGATTAGAAATTGGAGTCCATCAGTGGCAAAGACTATAAAATATACTAAAAATACACAAAAACAAGTAACACTGGTTACTTCTTAGAGGGATGGAAATTGGTACATAAGAACAGAGATGGAAGTCTTTCAGTATTTCTCTTCTCTTCGGTATTTCTGGTGTGCTTGAATCATGTGACTGTATAACCTAAGCAAAATTTACCAAACTAAAATAAAATTTTAATAGCCTCAGAATAATAATTAGATTAATGCAAACAGTGGATTTTCCTAAAACCAAAATTTCACTAAGGGAGGGAAAAAGTGGATGGGAAAATAAAACACACTCATGGTCACCAATGATTCCTTTGATTTTCACTGTCTTGCAGAGCCCCCTCCCACACTGTTCCAGGGATGGTCTGGGTACCTATTTCTGATCATCAAGCAGGCACTATAGCTTCTGCCTTGTTGCTCTCTCTGTCTGATCATCTACCCCGGAGACAGCCAGCTGCCATGCTGTGAGGAGCCCTGAGAGACCCACATGAAACTCGGGCCTTTCCATCCAACAGGCAGTGAAGAACTGAGACTTTTCACCAAAACCAAATGAGTAAGATTGGAAGTGTCTTCTCTAGCCCAATGAAGCCTTTAAGTGACTGCAGCCCCAGCTCGCACTGTGATCCATGCATACAACTACAATCTCATGTGGAACCCAAACCGTAACCACCCAGCTAAGCCACTCCTGTATTCTGGCCTTTCAGAAACTATGAGAGATAAGCAGCTAAATAGTAAGTTTTAAGGAGCTGAAGTTTGGGGTTAATTTGCTATGCAGTGATATGTAACTACCACAGCATGGTACCTCTCCTGTAAGAAAGAGGATATGTGAAACCATACATGTATCTGCTCATTTGTGCTACATAAATGCAGGAAGGATAAACTAGAAACAAGGGATTAGCTACATCTAAGGGGTAGAAAGGAGGAGGGAAGAGGAATGGAGTGAGAGGGATGAAGAAGGAGCAGTAGTACTCTGAGTTTACCTTTTATGTAGCTGTGTTAAATCATAGTGCTATTTAACATACTCAAGAAATGAACAAGCAATTAAAACTAACCAAGAAATGGAAAACAAGCAATAATAAATTAACTTAATTATATTATAAAGGAATAACATTATGCCATGAAGTGTGGAGAAAAAAAGAATCTAAATAACTTCGGAAAACAATAGTTTGGATGGATCTTATAAGGCTAAAAAACAAAAAGAACTAACCATAAATGCTATAATCTACTAAGTAAGTATGCTTCTCACAGTGGTATGGGTTAACTATTCTAAAAATATTTTGTATGTGTAATAGGGACTGAACAAATACTATATCATAGAAAATAAAAGCCATACTTTTCACTGTTTAAAGAAGTTACAAATAAATAAAGGGCAAAGACTGAAATGAACCCTGTCATGCTGAACTGAAAGAAATGTCAGTATAAACATATATACAAATACTGGTGTGGGGTTAGGAGGTAGAGGGAGCATACAGATACATCTTCCTAGCTCTATCTGCTGAGCGGGCCGAGAAGCAATAACATCTCAGCGGCAACAAATACACCTAGCACTCAGATTTTGGTTTCTAATGACCATTCTCCAATTGAAAGAGCCAAAACTCCCTGTTGAAGTGGTTGGTTCTAGGGCTGAGGCAGAAAAAATTCAAAACAAGCCTGCAAGATTTTGAGATTGCAGAAAGTAAGGAAGTGCTCAAAAAAGGATGGAGCTTGTCAAAAGTACATAAGACCAAAGCTGGAATAATTTGAGCAACAAAATAAATAATAGCAGTGGATTATAACCAACAGAATAAATACCTATGAGTACAGACTGATATAAATAAAAAATTTAAAAATATACAGGAAAGAATTCTTGTTAATAGATACAGAAGAATAATTCTTATTAACAGATAGAGAAGAAGAGATAAACAGAAAATCACCATTAGGGAACCACCATAGTAATAAATGCTGCCAACAAGATCCACTGAAGGATATTTAAATTGGGGATGGGGGAGTGTGAGAAGGAAACAGGATATTTACACAGTTTTAAGGTATCTCCAAGATGTCTATTAACTGCGAAAGAATAACTAGTAACTTTACAGTGGAGGACCCTAGCAGTTACCACCTTAACTGAGTAATCAAAGTTAACATCACCAGCAACAGGATATGTCAACATCATGAATTCCTGATATGATGCACTGAAAAGGACACAACAATGTATCAGAGATATTCTAGCAAAATACAGACCTCAGTCTAATCATGAGAAAACATCAGAGGAAACTGAGGTACATTAAAAAAAAAAAACAAAAAACTGGCTTAAGTATCCCTCAAAAGCATCAAGATGATCAAAGATAAGACTGAGAAATTACAACAAACTGGAGAAGACTAAGATATAATAACTGAATTCATACTAAGTACATTGTCAGATCCTAGACTGGAACTTGAAACAGAAAAAGGACATTTGTAGGAAAACTGATGAAATTCAAGTTGGCTTTGTAGTTTATTCAACAGTAATGTAGAAGTACTGTAACATGGTATAAGGCACTGGCACTAAGGGAAGAGAGGTAAAGGAAATCTCTCTGTAATATTTGAAGTTTAAAATCAGTTTTCAAAAAAAGTTAGAAGTTGATTTGTAATTAGGTAGACCTAAACAATTAAAAAGAATATATAAATGATTCTTTAGCTCATCTCTTACCCCCCAAAAATGTATTTTATCAATACAAATACATATTTTATTTGTAAAGGACTCAATGACTAAATAATTCTACAGCAGCATAAATCAAATCAGGTAGCTTTTTAACTACATTAAACTCATCTACTAAACTTGAGTACAATAAAAGTATCATCAATTTATAAACATTTCCATGAGGACGACAATAAAGATCTTTCACTTTCTACTTGTGAACCATCAAAAATATATTTTTCCACAGTTAAACAAGTCAGTTAACCTCAAAACAAAGCAAAATAGTACCACAGATCTCCACTAAGTATAAAAATAAATGAAAGACATTCTCTACAAGTACCAAAGATTTCACTATAATTTCTATAAATTCTTTTCTCTACTTGGTACCTGTGGTTCTTTACGTTCTCTGGTTTTGAATACTTACTGCTTGGTTTTCCATGCGTGCAAAGATAACATTTAGCATCTGAGTAAGAGTAGCTTTGGCTGTCGTCTGATTGATGAGATTTTTGCTTGCTAGATAGATATTGTAACATGTTCTCACAGCTTGCAGTACAGTTCCTTCGTGGATTTCTATGTGCTGTGATGTTACTGCAGTAAGTAAAGCCTTTAAAAAGAAAGACACAGTTAAAGCAATTTTCTGCATCCTGCATTTCAGCACAAAAATGAGTATTTTTATATTAGAATTAAAACTTTCAGACACCATTATCACTTTCAAGTACACACGAACAGAATTTCCAGTATACACCAACAGAATTTCTACTAATCTTCAATATATAATCAACTGGCAGTAATTTCCAAATAATCATCCCAAACCCCCAGAACTACTAGAAAACTATATAACTGCTTCAACACCCAACTTTCATTTTTATAAAACTATTAGTCTATTAAAATGCACAGCATTAATTGTCCAGCAGAGCACAGATATGCCTCATATGACATCTCTTTTGAATAAGACTGTCAACTGTGGCGGATACACATTGTCTTATTCACTTCCAAATTTTTATGAGATGGTTCTCACTGATGAAACTCAATAAATGTACTGCTGAGGTTGCTGAAGATGTTTACAAACAGAATAAAGCATTAAAATATCAGATTAAATGAGAATAAAGCATTTAAAATAATCCTAAGTGAACTTCCCCAATAAACTTTATATGAATAGTCACACATTAGGGTACTTGCAACTTCTCAAGAGCAAGGACTCTTCTGTCCTTTATGCTGCACAATGCTACGCAAAGTCAGCACTGAGTATATGCTAAATAAACCATGACTGATATTAAATTGCGAATGACAGGCCAACTGATTAGATGGCATTTTTAGAATAAAGATATGACTTGTGAAGTGAATACAGCTGTGAAACTGAAAGGCTCAGAAGGAACTAAATCTACACATGAAAAGGGGGCTATATGTACACATGGTTTCAAAAGTACTAAAAGTAGGAGAAAATTTATACTGATGTATAAACATATCACCATGACCATAAGCAGTCCTATTAAGACTTCAATATTTATAACAGACTAAAAACATAACTGAGTGAGTTTTCTTTAAGGAGTTTAATTACCCAGATATATTATAGCAAAAACCCAGAACAAAATTTGGCTGAGCAGGTTCAGCAAATGAATAGGTGCAAGGGAATCAGGAAAGCTGGTGCACAAATAGCTCACACGGTGAAGCATGGGTCTAGCGGGCAGACTACAAGGCATCCAGAAGTAGAAAAGAAACTAGAGGGGCCACATGGGCCCTAAAGCTCAAAAGATGGAATATGTATGGCAAACATTCCAGAAACCAAAATACTCTGGGAGGCTCTGGGAGCTGAAGCCTAAATTGGGGCCTTCAAAATAACAGACCTGGAAGTATAATATAGTCTTCTAGTGAACTCTTGGCATTCAACAAAATCCACTCATGGAGTCTAAAAAGCAACTAAGTGACTTCTGTTAGAGATGGAAAGCACATAAAATGACCTTTCCACATATATCCAAGATAAATGGCTTCTGATTTTAAAAATACATAGAGGGATGCCTGGGTGACTGATTTAGTTGAATATCTAACTATTGATTTCAGCTCAGGTGATGATTTCCTGGTTTGTGGAATTAGGCCCCTGCTTGGGATTTTTTTCCCTCTCTCTCTGTCCCTCCCCTGCTGGCTTGTGCTCTCTCTCTCAAACTAAATTAATAAACTTTAAAATATACATATACACATTATGAATGACAAATTCACTATAACCAATTACCTTTATTATTTGCAGCTGAACTCCTTCATCTGTTTGAGGACCTTGGAAGCAGCCACAAATGGTTTCAATAATTCTATCAATTAATTTTTTACCTGGTGTTGTACTATCAGGAGCATTGCCAGTCAAGTGCCCATACGCAATAAGTTTCTAAAATGGAGAAAGAAAATAAAGCTAATTAAGCTAACTAATATATATGCTTATTACACATTAAATTTATAACCTATAACTGAATACATGTTAAATTTCTTACATTAAAGTATAACCAAAGCCAAGGCTATACCAACTTTTCCTGAAGAAAGCTTTATTAGCTACAAAACATGTACAATTATTTACATTCATAATAGCCACAAAAATATACTAACCAGAATAAAACCATGTCAATACTTTGAGAAAGCCACATCTTAGACCTGGTATCTGGTGAATCAGAATAGCTAATTGCTTTCTATCTAATCATTATTGATACTGCTTTTGTGAAAGTTATCTTAACACATTTAAATGATTTTATCTCTTTCCAGATCAGATCTGTGAACATACAGAGAACTCAATTTCCATGCACTGCTGTAATAAATCATAGATTTGTTCAATCGTCATCCATTATACCCCTGGAAAGCCTTAGATATCACAATTTTAATTTTTCAGGGAAAACAGGGTTACAAATCAAATGAACTTATTCTTACTCTATCTGCCAAACAAATCAGACGAATATGGTCTGTTCCTAGCCATTGAATTATTGGTTCAATATGTATAATTCCCCCAACAGTGAAAAGACCTGAAGAGAAAGACCCCTCTATCTGCAAGTTTTACAAATATCTTCAGAATCCTGTGTGCGTGCATGCACACGTTTGTAAATAGAACAGTTTGTGTAAATAAAACAGGATAAAAGAGTTAAGGAATTTTTCTGACATAGGTGAAAATCAGAGCTGAAGTCTAGCTGTGAATAATTAAACTGTCAATATTAACCTACTACTGTATATAAAACAGTAGATATTCAGTAAAGTCATTGCAAATAATGATGTAGGTAAAGTCAGCAGCAGATTAAAAGTACTGTGGTTCTTGCATTTTACTGATGGAAAATCTGACCAAATACGATGATTTGTCTCACTATGCTAACTAATGATTTTTGCTACCCTTAAGCTAGAAACGTCTTTTTGAAACTATTATTTTATCTCTCTTGTATATAAGCAACTATCTGGCTTCTTACCACAAAAAGAATGCTCAAGGCTTTCATGGAAAATGTCTGAATCACCAATTGTGATAATGTTTAGAAACACATTCAAATTAAACAGTTTTTTGATAATGCCATTCTATACATACCTGTAAACAGTCAAGAGACGTACTAACTATACGGGGACATTTGGACTGGCACGCCAATTCAAAGGGTAAGAAGTACTTGTCTGCTTCGATAAAATTTGTCTTTGATTTCACTGGTGGAAGGGTGCTTGATCCACCTTTTGCTTCTCCATGAGGAGGACTAAAGGGAAAAGAGTACGATGAGAATATTACATTTGTCACAGTGATGATAAACTTATGAAAACACAAAATTTCAGTTCTAAAAGGAATTTTGCTAAACCAATCTTCATCTTCCCGTATTTCATGAGGGTAACCAAAGCCCAGAGAAATTAAATGATTTGCTACAGGAAAAAAGTAGTGGCCAGAGCTGTAACTAAATGCAAGAAAATCAAAGAAATTAAGATAGTTATTTAATTACTGAAAAAGTATTTAAATTATAAAATAATCGTTTAGCAATCTTTCTAAATATGAATCAAAGTCTTTACACAAAGACCTTAAAATGCATCTTATGGTATTTTAGGAATACCTTCCTGTATTTATTTATGAGATCTTTTTACTTCTATTTCTTAAAAACCATTTATTATTAATTTTATTATAAATTTCACATACAGAAAATCTGCCACACATAGATGACTGTATTACTCTTTTAACTAAGACTGATAAGTCTGCAAATTATTTTTACTAAAGAAAAGAAACCCCACAAACCTCTGTTTTTCAGTTTCCGCTTTTATTTCCTCTGGGGGGAAAAAAGAGGCACATGTTAGAAAACTTGACAACAGAAAGATCATTAAGTAAATTTGATTATAGGCTTTGTAAACTAATTCATAATTTCTATAAGAAGTTGAGAAGAATGCAAATTCAAAGGAAAATTCGGTAGCTAAAATCCTCTTGCTGTTAAATGTATTAATTTATACAATATAATTTTATAAAACTATACAAAGAATATACATTAATAACCATAAGGAGAGGTACTACTATGGATTACTAATTCCCAAAGCATTTGTTTTCTTGAAGTAGTTCTCTTTTTGTCTTTTGTCAAGTAACTACATTATCCAAAAGCATTAAAAATAGAATATTATGTATGTTGTATTCAAATTATACAATTAAGGCAAATGTTCAGTGAGGGGAGAAAACTAAACACATCACTCTTGTGATTATCTCAAGATTATCAGACTAGGACTATAACCTCTTGACCATGAACATAAGTGTTGATATTTAACCAATTTTTCTACTATGACTACACAAGACCCTAAAAATACACATGCTCAATTCAATGGGAAATTTTCCCTTTTGCTGTTTATAGCTTAAGAAATGAGGTAAATTGGATAAATTCTAGCTATACTAAAAGACCCTTAAATTTAATAGATAGTCTGGTTAATTGTTTAAACCTGCTTGAAATTTGGAAGGAAAATCATTCAAACATAACATTTATAATTGCTATTATTGTGAGCAACAGTTGTTCAGAACTATGTGCCAAGCACTATTACATTTTAAATGTACTAACATAAACCTCACAGCAACCTTAATTTTAAAGATTAGTAAAATGATAGGGCACTGGGTGGCTCAGTGGATTAAGTGTCGGACTTCAGCTCAGGTCATGATCTCACAGTCTGTGAGCTCCGGCTCCGCATCAGGCTCTGTGCTGACAGCTCAGAGCCTGGAGTCTGCTTCAGACTCTGTGTCTCCCTCTCTGCCTCTCCTCAACTTGTGCTCTGTCCCTCTCTCTTGCTTTCAAAAGTAAACATTAAAAAATATTTAAAAAGGTAATAATTTAAATCACCTTGAAAATACAGTACAGATGAAAGGAAAACTTATTAAATGCCCCAAATCTTCATTAAAATTTTTAACCACATTTTTCTTTTTAAAATATTATCATTATTTAAGAATCTGAGGTATTGCTAAAATTCAAGTAAGGCAGATGTAAGATGTAAGGGAAGGGAAGGGATAAAGTAGCAGTTTTTGTAGTACGTGAATTTTCATTTATAAAGTAAGTAGGAAATAGGGTATTCTGGTTAAGAATACATCAGTTAAGAATATTATAAATAGTACATTTTAAAGAGCACTATGGTCTGACACCATCTGTTACTAAATAACCATGTGACCTTGGGAAATCACCCTTACTTCACTACTAGATTACTGCAAAAGCCCCTTATATTCTAAAACATCAAGTCAGTAACTATGGCTCACATGCCAAAGCCATCTAGCACCCATTTTCCTGAGTTTAAGAATAGTTTTTACACATGAATATTGGGAATCAAAATGATGACAGGGAACGCTAACTGTGAAGCCCAGTGAAGAGTAAAACAGCGTAATGTTACTCCACCTATATAAGAACTCTCATTAGGCCAGGATTACAAATGCATATACTCAATTATGGTTATTTTGAATCTCATCAATAATAAAATTGTATAAATCTGTCTTCTCTTGGTATGTAAGTACTTATATAATATTCTTGGGTTTTCTTCTTGGCCTGCAAAGCCCTTTATAGAAAAGGTTTGCTGACGTTTGGTCTAAAACATTATAGTTCAAAGGATCTACTCAGAGTCTATGAACCATTTTATTTTATGACTCCATTATTTTTAAATGCCCATTTTTAAAGAGTCTAATAAAACATATCCAACGCAAGCTATATTGAATGTAATGTTTCTCTAACTCAGACAGTACTATAATTTTTTCTATCTCCACACTGTAAGTTATACAAGCAAGTACTGTTCATACTGATCCAGGTAAGTTTTTTCACAAAGATAAAACAATTTAACACTCAATATTTCTAATATTTTAAATTACCTTGTACTAAATATGAGTTTTACTTTTTCCTTTCTCTATATACATTTATAACCCACAGTAAAAAAAAAAAAAAGCTTTAAATGCTTTGATAAAATCTTTAAAGGTTAGAGAACAAGTATTACAATTTCCCCCCACTGGTTTTTTAAATTTTTTTTGATGTTTACTTGTATTCGAGTGGGAGTGGGAGAGGGAGAGGGAGAGAGAGAGAGGGGGAGAGAGGGAGGGGGAGAGAGAGAGAGAGAGAGAGAGAGAGAGGGAGCACGCGAGAGCACACGCACAAGTGGGGTAAGGGCAGAAGAGAGAGAAAGACATAGAATGCAAAGCAGGCTCCAGGCTGAGCTGTTAGCACACAGACTGATGCGGGTCTCAAACCCAAGAATCATGAGATCATGACATGAGCCAAAACTGAACGCTTAACTGACTGAGCCACCCCAGGCGCCCCTCCTCCACTGATTAATAATAGCTTGCATAGTTATCTTTCTGGTCCCACAAAATGCTTATATTTTTTTGGTCCCACTAAGAGAGCCTGGATTCATTTCAATAGGTTTCCTTTCAAAGCTTTGTGAGGTCACTTAAACTGGAAGACATTGTCACTAAGAAGTAATCAAGATTACAAGGACATGGGACATTAGGAGGTAGGTAGAAAATATTTATCAAAATACTGAAAGTAAAATAAGCTGAAATTTTTAAAGAATATGCAATACCTCTTTATATCTGTGCAGCAATATACAGTTTAAAATATTTTTCCACGTATTACCTAATTTCACCCTCAAAGGATAACTCCTATCTTATGTAGGAGAAAACTATGGATCAGATTAGTTAAATAAAAACATTAAGGTCAGACTGCTGATAAGTAGTGATCCAGAAACTAGTCTCACTAGTTTTAGTGCATTACACTCCCTACATTGTGCTATATAGTTACGCAACCTTCTACTAACTGATGCAACTAAACTGAGAAATTCATTCTACAATTACCAGCATAAACTTATTATAAAGCAGTGGTTCTCAAAATATGGTCCCAGGAGCAGCAGCATCAACACCACCCAGCCCCACAAAGACTTACTGAATCAGCAACTGAGTGTGTAGAGTCCTACAATCTGTGTTTTAAGAAGGCTTCAAAAGGATTCTGATATACAAACAAGTTTAAAAATCATTGCTATAAAGAGGAAGTCAAACTTTCACTCTTCGCAGATGAGATGATACTCTACATAGAAAACCCGGCAGACTCCACCAGAAGCCTACTAGAACTGATCCAAGAATTCAGCCAAGTTGCAGGGTACAAAATCAACGTACAGAAATCGGTTGCATTTTTATACACCAACAATGAAGCAACAGAAAGAGAAATCAAGAAACTGATCCCATTCACATTTGCACAAAAAACCATAAAATACCTAGGAATAAACCTAACCAAGGATACAAGAGATCTGTATGATTGAAACTATAGAAAACTTATGAAGGAAATTGAAGTAGACACAAAGAAATGGAAAAACATTCCATGCTCATGGATAGGAAGAATAAATATAGTTAAGATGTCATTACTACCTAAAGCACTCTACACGTTCAATGCAATTCCCATCAAAATTGCACGAGCATACTTCTCAAAACTAGAACAAACTATCCTAAAATGTGTATGGAACCACAAAAGACCCCGAATAGCCAAAGTAATACTGAAAAATAAAACCAAAATGGGAGGTATCACCATCCCAGACTTTAGCCTCTACTACAAAGCTGTCATCATCAAGACAGTATGGTATTGGCACAAAACCAGACACATAGACCAATGGAACAGAATTGAAAAATCAGAGCTGGACCCAAAGGTATACAGCCAACTGATCTTTGACAAAGCAGGAAAGAATATCCAATAGAAAAAAAGACAGCCTTTTTAACAGATGGTGTTGGGAGAACTGACAGCAACACGCAGAAGAATGAAACTAGATCATTTTCTCACACCGTGCACAAAAATAAACTCAAAATGGATAAAGGACCTGAACGTGAGACAGAAACTATCAACATCCTAGAGGAGAAAGCAGGAAAACAACCTCCTTGACCTCCACCGCAGCAACTTCTTACTTGACACATCCCCAAAAGCAAGGGAATCAAGAGCAAAATTAAATGATTGGGACCTCATCAATATTAAAAGCTTCTACACAGCAAAGGAAACAAACCACAAAATTAATAGGCAACCAACGGAATGGGAAAAGATAGTGGCAAATGACATATCAGATAAAGGGTTAATATCCAGAATCTATAAGGAACTCACCAAACTGTATACTCGAAAAACAAACAACCCAGTGAAGAAATGGGCAGAAGACATGAACAGACACTTCTCCAAAGAGGACATCCAGATGGCCAACAGACACATGAAACGATGCTCAGCGTCCCCCCTCATCCGGGAAATACAAATCAAAACCACACTGAGATACCACCTCACGCCAGTCAGAGTGGCTAAAATGAGCAAATCCGAGGACTCTAGATGCTGGCGAGGATGTGGAGAAACGGGCACCCTCCTACACTGTTGGTGGGAATGTAAATTGGTACAGTCCCTCTGGAAAACAGTGTGGAGTTTCCTCAAAAAATGAACAATAGAACTCCCCTATGACCCAGGAATAGCACTGCTAGGAATTTACCCCAGGGATACAGGAGTGCTGATGCATAGGGGCACATGGACCCCAATGTTCATAGCAGCACTCTCAACAATAGCCAAAACATGGAAAGAGCCTAAGTATCGATCAACGGACGAATGGATCAAGAAGATGTGGTTTATCTATACCACGGAATACTACATGGCAATGAGAAAGAATGAAATCTGGCCTGTGTAGCAACATGGATGGACCTTGAGGGTGTTACGCTGAGTGAAATCAGTCAGGCAGAGAAGAACAAATATCATATGTTTGCACGTATAGGAGGATTAGGAGGAACTTAACTGAGGAACAAGGGGGAGAAGAAAGG